TCCGAAGTTCTATCGGACAACCACTTGAAGCCCGGAGTTTTGCCGGACCATCACTTGATGCCCAGAGTTCCGCTGGACCACCGCCCACTGCTGAAGTTTTGTTAGACCACCGCCAAGCTACCAATATACACCTAAATTTTCAAGTTGCACCAGACTTCTGCCAGTCCACCAAGTGACGATGGACTTTCATCCCCATTTGTCATTAGATTTTAACCATACGGTTTGTCAGTGACCCAACCCGATCGGGACAGATCCCGCTCGCATCGGGTCGCGACACAGCCTTTGAAAATCCAGGATCTTGTTTTGGAGTTTGCTTCAGACTTTCTTCCAGAGATTTAATAGACAGAAAAACACAGAGCTACTATAAACATCAAAATACTGCGCAGTTCATCTATCTTTTCTTTTCTTAAATAATCATATACAGATACAGTGCATGGCTTACGGACAGAAAGAACAGAACAGAAAAGACAAGCCATGACTGTACAAAAATCAAAAGTATCAAGTACCTAATCATAGATCAGACTCTGGACCGCTAATCCATGACTTCCTTCCCTTTCCCAGAACCTGAAAACCACGTAGAAAACAAGGATGAGCTAACAGCTCAGTAAGGCATCAATCACCAATCAAAATCATCAGAAACTCACATCAGAAATAGCCGTACGAAAATCATAGAACAGATGCTTATTCAATCATAAATCACAACAAATACAGAAAACGGAAGTCATGTCGAATCGGCATTCAGTACAGATATCATAAAGTTTTCATGTCTTCAAGTCACATAGCAGACAGAATCGTACGGAATAACCCGAATCGTATATATATCAGATAATTCATAAAATAGATCAGATAAGTCACATAACAAATTTCAGATATCAAACATCATATTCCAGAAAACATATCACATATCAGATTTTAGATTCCCAGACCCTTACAGAATCTCGACGGATTCTGGCCCCTTATGTCTCCATTCCCTGACACTTACAAAATCTCAACGGATTCTGGCCCCTTATAACCCCTTTCCCTGACACTTACAGAATCTCAACAGATTATGGCCCCTTATAACCCCTTTTGATAGCACACAAACACTTTAAATATTCAAATCATCTTATTTCAGAAATTTCAGAAATCGTACGAAAATTCAACGGCATAACGGCAGTATACTGAATTTACACAAAACTCACAGATTCAGAAAGTTACTAAATTACCACAGAACATTCACAACAACATTGTAAGACTTTTATTATACTGACAAAATATTTTTCAACATCCTGATAATTTGCAGTTCGCTTAAAACACCGCAGAATCCAAAATATCCGGTAAAAATCTTCCAGAAAATACTCAAAACATGCATAATTATCATCTCAAAGACATACCAAAAGTTACGCGGTAAAACCTTTGTAAAAAGAAAATAATACCCAAAATTTGCTAACGAAAATAAAATTCAAAACAGAAAACTCGTCAAAATCCTCGTTTCTGAAAATTGAGAAAGGCGGAATGTGCCTTACCTCTAGTCGATCAACTTCTTTAACTACAGCAACAGACGAAAATGGACCGGAGTCGCCCAAAAATCACTTTTTCTTCTTTTCCTTTGATTTTCTCTCTCCTGGGCTATTTGTTACCTCCTCCTGGTCGCTGATGCTCTGCCTTCACTAACTGACAGGCTTCGCATTTCGCAACAAAATCTACTACATCCTTTTTTATTCCAGGCCACCAGAACAAACTCTTCATGTCTCCGTACATCTTGCCACTTCCCGGATGTATTGCATAACCTGAATGGTGAGATTCGTACAGAATCTCTTTCCTCAAATATCGAAACACAGAAATCCACAGTCTATTCTTGCAGAAAATAACACCATAATCAAAAACTTGGAGTTCAGGTTTCTTACCAGATTCAATCTGAGCAATCAACTTCGAATAGTCATGATCTGACTTCTGAGCTTCCTGAATCCTTTCTTCCATAGTAGATTGAATATCCATTTGAGTCAAAACACCAGAATCCGGACCAGTAGAGAAAATCACCTCTAACTGTAATCTTTACATATCTCGTATCAGATACTCATCAGAAATGAGCTGAATACCTGATAAGCCAGAAGACTTCCTGCTCAAAGCGTTTGCTACTACATTAGCCTTGCCAGGCTGATACTGAATCGTCAGGTCATAGTCCTTGATCAACTCAAGCCACATTCTTTGCCTCAAATTAAGGTCCTTCTGAGTGAATATGTACTTCAATCTCTTGTGGTCCGTGAAGATCTCACATCTGACGCCATACAAATAATGACGCCAAATCTTCAAAGCAAACACAACTGCAGCCAACTCCAAATCATGGGTAGGGTAATTCTTTTCATGTGGTTTCAACTGTCTCGAAGCATAAGCAATTACCCTACCATGCTGCATCAGAACACAGCCAAAACCTTTCAGTGAAGCATCACTGAACACCTGAAATCCTTCCGTACCTAACGGAAGTTCTCTAACCTCCTCAACCATTCTTCAGCTGCTCTGGGCTCAACAGTGCCCTCAAACCTCGGAGATTTCAATCTCAGAAATAACTGCAGATGTTTATCTATATTCTCAGATCGAACAGTAGAGGCTCTACTCTGAGTCTCGCTCATCATCTGAGCAATCAACGTAGCAAACTGCGAAAGTGTATCAGAACCAACCATTGGGATAGTACTGCCCACTAGAGCTGCCTGACTAGCACTCTACCCATCTGTCATATCAGGGTCTGGCAGATCCATGATCACACAGAAAACTAGGCACAAAAATAACAAAATAAAACTCCAGACAAACCAAAACTATCCCAAACAGACTCACAGATCGCTTCCTATAGCTCTGTCTTACAATTCAAATTCCAAAACCATTGCTCTGATACCACTAAAGCTTGTCACGACCCAACCCGACCGGGACGGATCCCGCTCGCATCGGGTCGCGACACAACCTTTGAAAATCCAGGATCTGGTTTTGGAATTTGCTTCAGACTTTCTTCCAGAGATTTAATAGACAGAAAAAACACAGAGCTACTATAAACATCAAAATACAGCGCAGTTCATCTATCTTTTCTTTTCTCAAATAATCATATACAGATACAGTGCATGGCTTATAGACAGAAAGAACAGAACAGAACAGATAAGCCATGATTGTACAAAAATCAAAAGTATCAAGTACTTAATCACAGATCAGACTCTGAACCGCTAATCCACGACTTCCTTCCCTTTCCCAGAACCTGAAAACCGCGTAGAAAACAAGGATGAGCTAACAGCTCAGCAAGGCATTAGTCACCAATCAAAATCGTCAGAAACTCACATCAGAAATAGCCGTACAAAAATCATAGAACAGATGCTTATTCAATCATAAATCATAACAAATACAGAAAACGGAAGTCATGTCGAATCGGTGTTCAGTACATATATCATAAAGTTTTCAAGTCTTCAAGTCACAGAGCAGACAGAATTGTACGAAATAACCCGAATCGTACATATATCAGATAATTCATAAAACAGATCAGATAAGTCACATAACAAATTTCAGATATCAAACATCATATTCCAGATAACATATCACATATCAGATTTCAGATTCCCATACCCTTACATAATCTTGACTGATTCTGGCCCCTTATGTCTCCATTTCCTGACACTTACAAAATCTCAACGGATTCTGGCCCCTTATATCCCCTTTCCCTGACACTTACAGAATCTCAACGGATTCTGGCCCCTTATAGCCCCTTTTGATAGCACACAAACACTTTAAATATTCAAATCATCTTATTTCAGAAATTTCAGAAATCGTACGAAAATTCAGTGGCATAACGACAGTATATGGAATTTACACAAAACTTACAGATTCAGAAAGTTACCAAATTACCACAGAACATTCACAACAACATTATAAGACTTTCATTGTACTGACAAAACATTTTTCAACATCCTGATAATTTACAGTTCGCTTAAAACTCCACAGAATCCAAAATATCCGGTAAAAATCTTCTAGAAAATACTCAAAACGTGCATAATTATCATCTCAAAGACATACCAAAAGTTACGCGGTAAAACCTTTGTCAAAAGAAAATAATACCCAAAATTCGCTAACGGAAATAAAATTCAAAACAGAAAACTAGTCAAAATCCTCGTTTCTGAAAATTGAGAAAGGTGGAATATGTCTTACCTCGAGTCGGTCAACTTCTTTAACTACAGCAACGGACGAAAACGGACCGGAGTCGTCCAAAAATCACTTTTTTTTCTTTTTCCTTCGATTTTCTCTTTCCTGGGCTTTTCTCTCTCTTCAAAATATCTCATTTCTATATATATCCAGACGGATCGTCCCGGACGATCGAAACTTCGTCCCGGGACGATTCGACTCTGGACGAATTTCGTCCAGACGAGATTAATTAACGTCCCTGGACGATCAGGCTCTGTAAAATTTTCGTATTAACGATCCAACATATCGTCCAGACGAACTGCTCAGTCTCCAAAATTTAAGCACAACCTGTACCGATCGTCCCGAGACGATCCAACTTCGTCCCGGACGATCCTGGGAGAAAAATGGCCTTTACACGGTTGGCATTTGTAATCTGATCACCCTCAAAGACGAGTCAGCTCACTGTAATCTACTCGAATTCTAGTGGAATTATTTTTAACTGGGTCATGCACCGTTGTTTTTCCCATTTCCAAAGCTTTTCACATAAAAAACCTTGTACTCTATGTGTGAGTGGGATATCCGTACAACACTAAGACGTAGGATTTAACTCTATCGCGGCGTATTCTTAGACCACAACAAGGTTATTGCATTTTTTAAAACTTTTTAGTGTTTTTTCCTCTTTGTAGAGCGAACTAATTAAAATTTTTTTGAACTTTTTTAAATTATTGGCGGTTAACAGTATTTTACATTTTTACGTTTAGAAGGCGCCGCACAGTTACTCGGGTTGAACCCACGCACGAGCGCATAATTATGAGAATAATGATAAACTACAGTGAGTAACTTCATTTAAAAGTTTGAAAAAAAAAAAAGAGAAAAATGCCATTTCCGGTGAGAAAGAGGGGGGACTGGGGAGCGTAAGGGAGGATTCTGGGGAGAGAACGAGAGCTTTAAAGGAGAGTTTGGCCTTGGACATGGCGACGGATCGAGAAAAGGAGAGAGAGGCAGAGCTGGAAAGTGCCATGTATACGAATTGCCTGCTGCTAGGCCTGGATCCCGCAATCATTGGCGTCGGCGGTGTCGGAGGGAGCCCCAGGGTTGGCCATTTCCGCCATTCCAACCCTAGATTGGGCGAGAAGCTTCTCTACTTTCTCCTTTCTGCCTTAAGAGGGCCCGTTCAATCCGCCAAGGCAAGAATTTCCCTCACCCGGATCGCTATTCCTCTACTTTGTCTTCTATTTGAATTGGATCTGACATTTCACACCGTTTTGGTATTTGGGAATACAATAGGATTTCGATAAGGTGTGGCCGATTTATGATTCTGCCCAGTCTCGAGATTTTCGTAAGGTAGATTGGGTCCATTTTTTCAATTTATTTTTGTTAGGGTTCAGGCTCGCCTAGTTCATTAAGTTTTATTTGCTTTTTGCTGGGTCTCTTCTGCTGCTTGAAAGATTGTGCAAAGTATAATAAGTGAGCTGGAATCCCAAGGGGCGCTGCCAAGGAGCAACGCTCGGGTATCATCACTCGCGACTTGTTGTGGGCCGAGGTCACTACTCTATTTCTCTTTCTTTCATTTATAGCTTTAGGTGTCTTTCTACGATTCTAAAAGAAATTTTGGAAGCTCCTTTTTTTTTTAATGCTGATGCACTGTAGTCTTCAATATTGCAGTACGAACTATGTTTGAGAGCTATACGTTGGATGATTTAGTTGAGCGTGCAATGTTATGAACTCTTGAATCTAGTTGAATTATTATCTAGAGTTTAGGTGATTTATACCATTTGCCTAACTTACGGCTCTTAACATGCATTGGCACTTTCTATCTTAAAACATGCTTATCTTTGTTGCATGTGTCTTCAAATTCACCATTGTTGCTCAGGGTATAGTGTGTCTGGTATTAACAAAGAGTTGGTGCTTACATTGCACTCTTTGATGGCGGCTATCAATCCTCCTTTCAAGGTTTAATATATCATTTCTAAAATATCTTTTTATTTGTGGGATCTTAAGACCTCAATAAATGTTTCGAGTGAGGGATATCTTGAGTTCGTCACTAGGTATATTGAAAATTTTTACCCCACAAAGATTTTATGCTATTTTATTTTTTTTTAGAGATTGAAGTTCTATGAGCACAATTATCTATGATTAGTTATTCCTCTCTGATAGGAGATTAGTCTTAATTATAGAATTTGTTAGCCTTTAATTTTGGCACAAACAAGAGAAATAAAGAGCTTTACTATCATCATATAGATGAGTTACAATCTGTCTCATTCCTACACCATGCTTCTTGCTTATATGAGGGGAGGGGAGGGGAGGGGATGATGCTAAACCATATTAGGTTCCTATGTTTTTGCCGTTTAAAGATTTGTCTTGTGAAACTCATTCCAAAGTATCAAGGAGTCTTAACTTTATCATTGCACTCCTTATTAGGGTACATGAGTTTTCTTGTTTGAAGTAATACCTAATGGTACGAAAGTGTAAAACATACAGTGGCCAATTTTGGTGGCAAAGCTTAGTCTATTGAGGGTATTATTAGATTTTTTGAGCTTTCATTAATTTGAGAGTATTGTTAAAGAGAGTCAAAGGTACGAAGAATTATTGTTTATCCTTATTTATGGCATAGCCTATAATGGCTTATTTGGCTAAAAGCATGCCCAAGTTAGCTAATTGACTTAAAGGGAATCAAACATAGCCCTCCATTTTTTTCATGTAGGGCTTGGGACCTTGCAACAAAAGTGTTAGTTAAGTTTTTAAAATAATATATTTTCAAATAAAATGGTGGAAATGGTTTAATTTAAGTCATTTATGCAACATACTTTTAAATTAATATTATTATTCATAATTCTTGTTTTGGGCACCCATGCTCATTTTAATATTTTATTTCTTTTAATTAGACTCTTAGATGACATCTTCGACACATGTTGGGTGTATCTTAAGTGCATGATATGACTCAATTCATTTATTATGAAGTGTTATTGCATGCCTCCAGGCTTATGAGGTCTCCTAATGATTGTTGACAAGGATCCTCCTGCTTAATAAAGGTTTATCATCTTCTCTGTCTAAGTTTATTAAGATATATGACAACAACTATAATATCTTGACAAGAGATGTCCTTACCATTGACTCCCCTAGCTTATACATCCTCTTCGTTAAGTCAATCTTTCCTAATCCTTAGAATTAAATATCTTTTTTCTTAGGTTAGACTCCTATCCTCTAGGTTAGTTAGCCTATCTATTAAGTTAGATGCCTTTCCATTAAGCTAGTCTTCACCTTAACTTATTCCTTCCTATTCTTTAAGTTAGACTTTTATACCCTAAGTTACCCGAAGTAAGACTTTTATTCCATAATATGAGTCCCATCATCTTTGAAGTTGTCATTATGGAATTTCATTCTCTTAAATGTCTAAATGCAAGAATTACCTTTTTAAAATTAATTATTGAGATTTTTATTGGAAGAAGGATTTCTTCATACTTAAGACAGATGTTGTTTTGATCATAATCCTATAACCATCTTTCTTTTAATCCTAAGAGCTCATCCATATCACCAGCTATCCGCATCACTCATTTGAGCTTTAGTATTCCTTAGGTTTATACATCATCACATATATGATGGCCTATTTGATTATGGTTAGTGCTCATTGACTTCGACTTATTGCTTATCTGTAGTCTTTTATTCTTTATTAGAATAGATAAATCTCTATTAAACAAACACAGCTAGAACACGAGAAAGATTCTTTAATTCACAGTTTTTTTAGTATCACCCAATTTGTAATTAACTTTAAGTGTAATATTCTCTTGGGAAACTCCAACCTCTAAAAACTTCAATTCAAGTAAGGGAAAAGCAAATAACTAACTTGTTGATTTATGAGTTTTTAGAGTGCATTGGTCTACTACCATATCTCTATTGCAATTCATTAATATCATCCTAGTTTATAATCCCTCAATTCCTTATGCCTTCCCATATTATTAAAAAAAAATACCACTTGTAATAGGTAGTGCTTGGTGGAATCCTAAATTATTCATACAATCCTAGACCATTTTAGTAGCTTATATTCTTATACCTAACTATTAAGTATAAGGTGTGAATTCTAAGGAGAGTTGAATGGCGTTCTAGAAACCAAAGCATGTTCAAGGTACAGGGCTTGTCAACGCATATTTATTGTCGAGTGCCATTAGGTCAAAATCACTGATATAAGAACCTAATGGACCTAATGGGTTGAAAACAAATTGAATGGAAACAACCGTACTACATTCTAAATAAATCCACATCCACAAATGGTATCACTCCCAAATTCTTTGGCTTCAACAAAGCTTGTTTGTGTTTGCTTCTAGCTTGACCAATGATGTGGGAGAAAATAAATGTCATGCGATTCAAAATTTATATTTTTATAATCAAATACTATATAGAAAATAACATACCATCTCGAAAAGCAGATATGGTGTTTTACCATCGATTCAAAAATAAAAATAAGGCTCTCCATTTTTATAATCAAATCTATCATATATACCATCTTGAAAAATAGAAATGATATTATACAATTGCTTTCAAAAAATAAAATGTTTTTTGAATAAATTGTCTATGTTTTCATAAAACTTTCCTCCCCTACCTTAGAGAGCTAAAATAAGATTTATTTTACGCTAGGATTCTAAGTTCCTTATAAAGATAGGCCTTTATGGTTAATTATATCGCAAGAGAAGCTCTTGATAACACTCTTGATTAAAATAGTGACTAAATAATTTTCAGATTTCAATACTTTAGGCAATGTTTAGAAATCATCAGTTTTTAAATAGGGATTGGGTCAAATATCATCGAAAGGAAACATCCATAACATTCAATTACAAATTGACATCCATAGAGGTGTTTTTGGGGATGAGGTTTGCGGACTACTCATATTTTGATTTGTTTGGCTCAACCAACTTTGTGAGACTTTGCAGAGTCTTTGCTTGGTAGGTATAACAACAACAACATCAAGCCTTTATCCCATTACGTGGGGTCAGCTGTATGAATCCTTTTTCTTTATTGTATCTTGTTAAGAGTCAAATTTTATTTTAAATGTAATAAAAAAGTTTTTTTTCTAATATTCTATAACCAAGTCTTTTTAGGTCTACCTCTTCCTTTCTTTTTAGGTCTTTGAATTGTAGGCAATGGATAGAAATTATAGACATTTTAGATTAAGTAAATTCTAAAATGGCTAAGCTAGGCCAAAGAATTTTGGTTCAATCTTTTGAACTTTGCTTGCCTTTAGATATCTCATCCTTAGAATCTACCAAACATTTTTAGAGTTCTTTTGGAATCTACCAAAAATCTATTACGACATCCTTCATGAGTTCATTTCGTTGCTTTTCCAAGGATAGGAGTGTCACGACCTGACCTGGAGGCTTGAATTAATCAGACGGGAATAGACGGTCGAATAGTTGATTAAATGTTTAACTACTAACTATTTTCAATATGTTGAAAGAGTCATTAAAACCCCAAAATTTTAAAAGTAAATGTTATAAATACCTTTTTCTCGAAGCGTATGATATATATTCTCTCATCTTCTACTCATTTTAAATTAATCGAATAATACTTTTGAATGTATTTTTGTAAATAAAAAATGAGTCACAACTCAGTGAGTATATCATGCTTCTAAATTACAGTAATACAAATTATTGAGAATAATATGTATGCTCATTTCAAACATAATGTAATTCTATTTAAAATTTATTTTAAATATGATTGTTAATGTTATGCATATCTATACATGTCACATCTTTATCCTTTTTATAAATAATACAATTGTCATATGAGACCATCTAAAATAGTTCCAATGAAGGTACTTCATTTTTCATAACATATTTTATTTACGCGCGATACATGACATCCACAGCTAGTACCATAAGGAGATGTGATCCATTAATCAATTATGCACATACAAACATATCTATCTATTCTTTTTATTCATATAACATTTCATTACTTTTGTATGATAATGTGTGACACAACATATTAATTTTCATCTAATTCAAAATAACTAATCATTGGATACAAGAAAGATAAATCATGATATAGCTTGCAATGAAAACTTAATAAACATGTATCACTCTCTTTTGATGCATTTATTTTAAGATAGAATAAAATCATAAATGTAATTAAAAAGACGTGAGTACTCACCTTAAACTTAGGTATCGTGCTGCTTCACTTGTACTCATTACTTCGAAGTCAATAGATTTATCACCTATATAAAAGATATTCTTATTGACAAAATTTTAAATTATAGATCGCTTGTAAATTCTCAGGCTTAATATTTTAAAATTTCTTCTCTTATTAATTAAAATTTTTTTACTTAACAAACTAATAAGTTAATTCACTAATTAAAATTTTATTTATAATTGAATTTAAAATTTTTTTCTCTCATTCTCTATATATATTTATTTAAATAATATTTTCCTTGTTATCATATTTGAAATTTACTTTTACTAAACTTTTATTCTTTTTTTATTAATATGTTAATTATCACTAATAATTCAATTCATTATTTGTATAATTAATTCTCTTAATTAACATTTCCAA